TGGAATGATAAGATATTAGTAAAAAAAAAAAAAAAGGGTTTGGTTCTTGCTTTTATATAGTTAGGCTAACTTATTATTTCAGAATCATAAACTGAGCAATTTCTAACTTTCAATTTTTTGACAGTGACTTCTCCCTATCAAGAAAAAGAAAACGTCTAACCTGAGGACTCGATCAAGTTTTACTTTACATACCATTTCTCTATGAGGGGTTGCTATGACGTGAGTCCAAAAGAGAACCAAAAGACAAATCATTTTAGTCTGACTCAAAAAATTTTTTTTTTAAAAAAATAATTAAGTAGATTTAATCTTGTAAAACATAAAGTGTTTTTGAGTGATTGTGCTATTTGTAATACTGTACATGTTTTAAATTGTATAGATGTTCAAAGCATATTGATCTGCCTGCAGCCTAAGTAGTTGCCAAGCATGAAACAGGCCAATAGTAACTACAATCAACAATTGCAGGCTTACAAGGATGAAAGAATTGAGATATACAGGGGACAGGTTTTAGAGAAAGCTAATCTCTGAAGCCACCTTTTATTCCAGACTTGTGATAGAAGATGGTCCAACTTCCAGGCACCAGAAGAAAAAAGGCACACTTTCCAGGTTGCTTTGCATCAGAAACAATCTTTAGCCAGTTCCCTGGACTCCTTTCGAAGATGATCCCTTCCCAAATTTTGTTGCAGGAAGGCATATTTGGTACAGAATCGACAGGCCTCGTGGGTTTGCATGGTGAAAGATGTGTCCATAATCTTGAGTTGAACCGACGCCTGATGCTAAACATGGCTAAACGGATACAATTCGTTGTTGAAAAATCAACTCTTGTACTATAAATGGCAAAGTACATGACACCTTTCCGGCTTCAAGAACATTTGCCCTATATCCTGCTTTGGCAAAAATTCGATTGCATGAAGATATTTGCAGTGTTTGTTGAATTTTTCTTTTGTGAATATATGGAAGATCGGGTCATTTAGAATCTTAGATTATGTTCTAAATTTTCATCAATTTCTAGATGTTGGAAACATATTCCCTGCAGACAGGATGGCTGTAACAATTGTGTTCTGAGTCGAAAACCCATGTACTCAGATGTCTGCATTTATGCTAAGATTATGGATTAGATCGAGCATCAACATTGAGTGCTAACAAGCAATTGATTCAAAGATGAAAGGACTTCTTATCTATTGGATGATTTGAAGCTTGTTTAATATCTCCAACTCTCCCATTTTTCTTCCCTTACCTCCCCGATCAACCAGCCATTAAATTCCCTCATTTAAGCTCTGCATGGCCATGTTTGGGTGTAAATTTTTGTGAAACACATACGTCTGCACCCATCCAGCAGCATGGATATTAGGCTGTAATTTAGTTCCAACTGTTAATCTTATCTTGCCAAGTTTGTTTTAAGATTTTAGTATATTACACGGTATCCATGCACAACTATATGTATTGCCATAAATTACTTTTACAAGTGAAGGATTAAGCTTGTAATGATAGAAATCTCTATTTCCTGATCACTAAACTGATTTATTTAGTGAGATTAATTCCACCAACAGAATTGAGGAAAATTTTAAGAAAACAATAGATTTTAGCAACGAGAAGGACTCTAATTACTTCTGCATACGTAATTTATGAGATTAGTCCTCATGCTGAGGCTGCAGCATTTGAGAGTGCTAGAACTACTCCTATGATGGTGACATGCTGCTGGTGGTACAAAATTTGCCCCCTGAACCAATGGTGGTAATACTTTACCAACAAGTACTTCAAAAATATACATTTTGCCCTTCCCCCTCCCCCTCCCAAAATGAATTATGTTTTGTACTTTTAATTTTCGCAAATTCATGTGCATATTTTTCTTCCCAAATTACTCCCAAACTTCCTAGTTTCTCAACAGTCAACTTTTATACAGTTGTATTTTCCTATTATGTATTCACTATAATATTATGTTATTGCATGCTATGATATTGGATTATAGTATATATTAAACCAACAAAAAAAAAAAAACTCCCCTAACTATCGCCTTATCCCCGCCCTTTTTCACTATCTTGTGGGTGCTCCAATTGTGACCACTTCTATGTTTTATTTGACATAAATTTTTAAAATATATATATATATATATAATACCAATAAAAATCACAATTATTAGTCTTTTGAATATTTAGCCAAAAATAGCAACTGCAATTATCAGTTATTTTTTCACATTTGATACTACGCAAAATCTAAATCAATATCCATGGATTTTTCTTACAAACAATATGTAACATGTGACAAATAAAAAGTCGAGCAAATTAACATAACAATATCATACTTTTACTACAAACACAAAAAATCGCCAAGAGAAGCTACATTATGATGGATTTAAAAAATTGTTCTGCAAAAGGGTTCTTTGTTGTGGCGGCTTTGACTAGGTGGTCCTCGCACTTGCGGAATGCGAGCTGTGAGAGTTCGCATTCTTCAAGTGCGAAGATAGCAAACCTTCTGTTCCAAGCAAGAGAGTGTATTTCTTCCTCCTTTCTCTGACAATTATCAATTATATCCAACTAAATAATTCAAGTTTCTCTTTAACAAATGTTTGTCATCTTCTATAACAAAAGTCAGCAACTACAAATGAGAAAATGCTGTCCTTTTTGCTGAAATATGGATCAAAACTCAGTGAATTTAGCTATACCTCACATTTGAAAAATGCGAGATTGCTCACATTTGAAAAATGCGAGTACGAATATCTCTCTTGCTAAAAGCACACATCACAATCTACCCTTTTAAAAAATGATATTAGAATTCATCATAATCTTGAAATTTTCTCAATTATTTTGTCACAACAAAGTACTATTTTGTTAATTTTAAATTTAAAATATATGCATATATATATATTTATATTTATATATTAGTACTATAATGCATTACATATAAGGCGGAGGCAGGACAAGTGGAGTCCTATTTAAATTGCTACAAAATTATACATAAGTCTACACAGTAAGTTAATTAACTGCTGTTCAACATCACATCATATAGTAGCCGAACATTTTGATGAATACATGATAAGAAAATGTAACAAGCTAAAAGTTGATCATTGAGAAAATAGGAAGATTGGAGATAATTTGCGAAGAAAAATATACACATGAGTTTGTCAAAAATAAAAATACAAATATAATTCACTTGGAACGATAAAAATGTATATATTTTAAGTTCAGGGTGGTGAAATATTACAGTCCCATAGATTGAAGGGGGCAAAGTGATAATAATCCTAAATTAAATCAAACGCCCATGGAAGAGACTAATGATTCCGGCCATGTCAGAATTTTATATAAAAAGAACATGTCCTCCACTTAAATTATGCTGTATCATGATTTGACACCTAAAAATCAATTGATGTTCCTAAAAATGTATACGAGGAAACATATTCTAAAAGCACAATTGATGTTCAAAGCATTTCGTTTGGATAACTTGACTGAAAGAATGTGGATAGCGTCAAAGCATTTCGTTCGAAATAACGGGATAATTTGACTGTTGAGACAATGTGAATAGAATGAATTACACAGTAGTATATCCTTGAAATGCTTTATACATTTGTTCACTCAACCAATGGATTGCTTTCTCTCCAAAAAAAAAAGAGGAATTAATGTATTACTATGTGTTACTATTACTTAGGATCAAAACCAAGATTCATTAGACTGGAGGCAAGTGCTTGAATGATCAAGTTAAATATAGATTAAACAAGTATTAATCAAAGTTGGATTCCAGCTGAGCTCAAATAGATGATTTAATCGAGCAATTGTGGAGTTTGATTGTTACCTATAGGTCCCACTACAATCCTAATGCAAACTTGAACTAATGAAATCTCGAACAATCTTGAACTAATGTTACCTATAGTCCCCCGCGTGAATGGTCCAGCGGCAGCGCCTTTCACCAGTGAATCTTGAGGTCACAAGTTCGAGTCTCCGCTCCGCTGGATTTTTCCGCGCACTTAGCGTGTTCGGGGCGGGTTGAGGCGCCGGGCCCGGGCCGCAGGGGATTAGTCGGATCCCGTAAGGATTGACCCGGACACCCTTGTGTCGAAAAAAAAAAAGAACAATCAAATATTAGATCAAACTCAAATGGTACACTTTGCAATTAATTGACTCACATATTTTTGACGTTAGTGGCAAATATTTTGGTAATTTACCATATTTCTCTTGACAACCCTGTTTTTGGTATGTTTATTAAAATACAAAATTTGTTTAGAACAACATCTCCAATGAAAATCTAACAAATCGAAGGGAAGGCTTGTAGGGAGAGAGGATAAGGCAAGGGAATGATGGATTAATGAAAGGAGAGGGGAGGAATCTTAGAGCTAGTCGTGACTCCAAATGGTGCAGGAATCGAACGAGAGTGTCTTGAAAAGAAAGGGGTTTATTGGGATTAAAGATTATTTGAAAATATTTTTTAAAAAATATTGGATTAATTTTTTATACATTAACAATGTATGCACCATCATCATTGAATGCACGACAATTCATCTGAATTTAAATTTAAAATTCAAATTTTACTCATGTGTCATACATCTAACCGTGAAAAGTGCATACACTATCAATATATATAAGATTTATTCAAAAATATTATGATATTTTTCGTGATGTGATGTATGTGAAATAAAAATAATTAAAAATACATTTATAATGCAAGTAAATTACTTTTAAGAAAAATATACAATTGAAGCAAATCGTGTTATGAATGTTTTGGACCAATGCCTTACAAAAAAAAAAAAAACAGTCAAATTTTTAACAAACACCAAAATACACAATTCAAGCGGACATTATTGAAAAAAGCAACTCAACACGTCAACAACAATTCCTTTTCTCATTAAGGGGGGAAAAAGAAACAATAAAAGGCTTTCGAGGAAAATTTCTTTTCCTTCCCTCTGGTTTTGACTTTGAGTCAATAAAAGACTCGGCCTGCTTCGAAACCCGGCCCAAAACTCCACTCTCCGGGCCAACCACAAAAAAACTCAAACCGGACCTTCAACCTATATCTCCCAAAACCCTCGAAAAAATCGTTTTCTTCTTCCCTCTCACCAGCAGCTGCTTTGGCTTGTCAAATCGCCCGGGAGAAAACTCTAGCAATACATCTCATTCTCCAATATGAACTGCTCAAGTATGAATTCTCTCCCTTTTAGTTCACGTTTCACTCATTTTTGCTTGATTTTCAGCTACTTTTTCTGATCTACGGTGCTTTATTGACTGGACAGTTTCCGGCGAGGTGCCGGAGGAGCCAGTGGTCTCGAAGAAGTCCGGACTCCTTTACGAGAAGCGTTTAATCGAGCGACACATCTCTGTTCGTTCGTTTCTCTTTCCTGTTTCTCCCTCTTTAATATCCCTCTTCAATATTTCCTGTATGTAGTCCATTAAGTCCTAGGGTTTACTTCAGAACTTTTGTTTAGCTTTTGAAGGTGGTTATGATATTTAGTATGCCAAAATTTTGCAACTTTGACTCTGGGGCGGTAGTGAGCTCGTAGAACCAGAAAGATTTTTTGCAGAGTAATGTAAATAGATTGAGGATGGCTTAAATCTCTGAGTCACGAAGCAATGGAAGTAAGATTGGAAGTATCATAAGTACGAGAAAGAATGGTAGCAAAGGAAGCCATTTTCTAGAATGGGAGATGAGCTCAAATTTGGTAAATTAGGACGTGTTGGAAGTAAGATTGAAAGTCTTGTAGGTTCAAATGAGATTGGCAGCCTAGGAAATCTTTTTTAGGATTCGAGATCAGATTGTAATTGTGAATGGAGAAGCATTGGAATTACGATTGTAATGAGAATGGTAACCAATAACTTTTTTTTTCCCTTCATAGGAAGTAAGATTAGTCATCAGTTTTTTTGACAGTTATACGGTGGCCTCTTTTTGTCCTGACACACAGTGGTTATTGATCTACTTGTATCCTGCTCTTTGTAGAGTCTTTTTGTGGAAGGATCCTTATTTATTCTGCAGTGGAACTATCTGTATCTGACTCTTTCTTCAAATATGATGGAAGGAGCCTTTTTTTACAAGTTTTCTTATATGAAAAAATTGCTGCTAATTAGGTGAAGACAAAACAGAATAACAGGAATATTTAGGCAATCAACTTTAAATGTTTAACCATTGATCCTTCTAGAACTGAAAGTGGTATTGGAAATTCTCTTTTACATCTCTTGGGAAGAAATTTAGAGAAAATAGATATGAGTAAGAAAAGATCATGTGAAACTATTGCTGTCCGTGTCTCGATTTGGCGTTTGGATATAACTGAGTTATCTAGCAAAAAAATTGGAACATTGCACAATCTTTTTTCTCTTTCACAAACATGTACATGTTGTTTTTCCTTTTTACCGTGATTGAACTGTTGCATTTTTTTTAAAAAAAGGGATGGAAGGCATTAAATTATTTCTAATAGAAGCTGTGTTTTCTGTCTTGCATTTGTTCCTATCTTCTTCTATTTCCTTCTTTCACCTCTTTTATCTCATAGGATTATGGGAAGTGTCCGGTTACTGGGGAACCTCTAACAATGGATGACATTGTTCCAATTAAGACCGGAAAGGTATGATATACATTGTTAATGCAATATATATTAGATTTTGCCCTTATTGTATCAGGTTGAAAAGTGCTTTTCTCTCATGTGGTTTAAGTACAGTGGATCTGAATTGTAACATTTAGGCTTAGAAGTACATGAAAGCGACATGGTGCATGAGAGGTTATTTTTTCTTCAATTAAATGCAGATAGTGAAGCCTCGACCTGTACAAGCAGCTAGTATACCTGGAATGCTGGGAATGTTTCAGATTGTACGTGTTTCTGGTCCTTCTATTCCTGTTTTTTTTGCGAAAGCATTTTTGTGATGGAATTATGTCATGACTTCCAATTTTGTCTAAGTGATATTATGCTCTTATTGTCAGTTTGTTTCAATTGGCTCCTAGGAGAATAGAAATTTGTCAGAAGAATATTTAACTTTCTGTTGACCTAGGCTTATGTTCTCTGCTGTGCGTAGCCTTCTCTTTTGGTGTCAGTAAGCTCCATTAACTGTTGCTTGTTGCCTGAAACAGTCTCTAGGACCCATCCTTCCATTAAAAGCCTTGAAAGGGATTCTAGGAGTCAAAGAAGCTCACTTCAGAGTTATTAGTTGTTATTGTTGATGTTGGGCAATATTATCTACATGGATTCTAGAATCTTTGTAGGTTTTATTTCCTGGTCAAATCATATTTATGTGAAGTAATCTACACAAGCTGTTGGATGCTGGTTGTAGTGAAAATCTACTTATTGTGGCTTGCTGGTCCACTATTTTAGCTCTCTATTTGTAACATAAAATTTTTGTTGGAGTTAAAGTGATTTGATGAATAATTTTTCACGTGGTCATTTTACTTTTCTTTTCTCAATCTAGGAATGGGATAGTTTGATGCTGTCAAATTTTGCTTTGGAGCAACAATTACATACAGCGAGGCAAGAGCTGAGTCATGCTTTGTACCAGGTAATTATGAGGACTTGTGCTCTTTTAAAATAAGAATCCTTTAATTCATGTTTGTTCTACAATTGATTTGTACGATGGTATTCTCTGCATATGAATCGTTTATTGTATGTAGTTTTCTGGTACTCAGGAATTTTAGTGCAGACACAAAATATATTGTGCATCATTAATATTGTCCCGGACCCCAGGCTACTCCCCAGGCTACTCTTTCAATGTGCTCTTTGCTCCATAATTTTCTCCATGGTTTTAATATACTCTATGATTTCATGTTTGGCAGCATGATGCAGCCTGTCGTGTTATTGCAAGGTTGAAAAAGGAAAGGGATGAAGCAAGGGCAATACTGGCTCAGGCTGAAAGACAAATGCCTGCTGCAGCAGCACCAGTACCAGCAGCAGCAGCTAATGCTGCTGCTTTAAGCAATGGCAAAAGAGGTTCTTCCCTCTCTAGGCTCTGTTGTTTGACATCTTACTATACATGGAGGCTGATTTGTGTTTACAGCTGCTGAGGATGATGAGATTGGTCCTGATGGGAAGAGGATTCGACCAGGAATCTCAGCCAATATCATTTCAGAGCTCACAAACTGTAATGCTGCACTTTCACAGCAAAGGAAAAAGAGACAGGTAATGACTGATGATTTCTTATTGCAAATGCTTCATGAAAATAGCACTGGAACAATGCTGTTTCATGGCTGGCATCTCATTTTGAAGATCCTTTCTTTTAATTTTCCTTGTGTAATTGAATGTGTCTCCACACCTATTTTTGGCATTTCTGCATATGGCCTGATCTTTTTTTTCCCTTGTATATTTAGATACCTCCAACGTTGGCTCCCATTGATGCTGTGGAGAGATACACACAGCTCAATAGTTATCCACTTCACAAAACCAACAAACCTGGTATATTATCTTTGGACGTGCAGTATTCAAAGGTATGCACACTCTCCGACCATCATGGTTTTTTGCTTCATGTTTCATTTCTTGTAATCATGTTTGATAGATTGCCGACAAATTAAAAGAATTTCATTCTCAAGGTTATCTAATCCACTATGAGTCTTGGTCATAGAGAATGAAAGACCATGATATAAAATAAATTACTTCTCTTAGCTAGAGGCTGTTTTACAACTTGAGGAATTTATGGTGATCATAAACCATATTGTGTTAGTGGAGTTGTCCTGGATAAACTTTCTCTGACCTTTTCAGGCAGAAGGAAAAAAAAAAAAAAAAGAGGAGAAATTGCACTCGTGATGATTTATATTAATTTGGACTCGAAAACTGCTTCGAGTGTTTCAAACATGGTGTCTGAAAAGTAACTTAAATTCGAAACCACAGGCACTAGTGTTGTTGAACAGAGAGCTTTATGCTGGTAATTAATGAAGAAGCTAAATCTTTATGGTTTATTTTAGCTGTCATGTTGGATGTATGATCTCATGGATGGACTTTACCATTCCAGATAACAGCAATAGATCTAGTAGCATTTGGGGTTTCAAATAGCTAATAAGCCATAGAAAGTTTACTGAAATTTGAAAACCACATTGAATTTGATTGGACAATTTAGTTGCATTTTTTGATTCTAAAGTATTGGCATATGTTTCCTGAATCTGAATCCAGCGTGTTCAAGTTCTAATCATAGTTTTTTTTTTTAAATCAGGATATAATTGCAACCGGTGGAGTGGATACAAATGTCGTCGTTTTTGGTCGATCTTCAGGAGAGATTTTATCTACACTGAGTGGTCATTCGAGGAAGGTCTAATTAAAGATCTTGTTTCCTACCCATGTATATCTTTTGAGTTAAAAAGTTTAACCTGTTTCTTTTCTGTAGGTAACAAGTGTTAAATTTGTTGCGGATGGGGAACTGTTGCTTTCTGGATCAGCTGATAAGGTAAATCACTTGATATCCGATGGAGTCAAGCACACCTTTCCATTCCTGGCAGTTGTATCATCATACTATTTTCTTGTTCAACTTTTGGCTTTTTCTTATGTCAAGCCAGAAAAACTTTTTCTGAGAGGATGAGAGTTTCCATTAACTACTTGCTTCAAGGGAATCCTTATCGGTTATTAATGCATTGGAGATGATTGCTTCAGACTTGTGTAAAAATATTTCTGAGTGCCTTATTGTCCTTTAATTTTTTTATTTTTCATGCATATTGCCGATAACCTGCTTTTTGTCGGTCTTTGCAATGTTGGTGTGTTTAAATGTCCCTTGCTGTTCCAGACTGTTCGATTGTGGCAAGGATCAGAAGATGGCAACTATGAATGTAGGCACATCATGAAGGACCATGATGCAGAGGTAAATCTTGTTCTGTCTTATTCAACTTGGTCACCAAGTGACTAGTCGTTCTTTTCTTTTTTTAAAGTTTTGCTGCTGGCTAATAGTAAGTACTGGTATTTGGCCTGTTAGATAGAGATCTGATCGTCAGTATAGTGTAATGTTTTGCTTTGAACTTTTCTTTTTTAATTGAAATAAGCAAGTTCTAGCTTTTTCTTAAGCTGAAAATTGTTTTGAGTTGTTCTCTTTGCTTTTCACTGTTGTCCTGGGCCTTAGGCTGAAAAAGGTGAGAACGTCTTCTTTGGTAATTTTATTTTGAAACTGCTAGATTAGATCTCTTCTTCTTTTTTGTGGCTTTGTGGAAACACTATTTTTAAGAAGCTTTGGAACAGCTGAAGAAACAGGCCCTTTGCATCCTTGACCTTTTTGAATACACATCAAAATAATTTTTAAGTGCCATTTCACTGTTACGTTAACTGCTGATTACTTTAATCTGCCAGTCATTCCGCAAGAAACTAAATTGTTCTGCTACATGTTGATTGTCATTTTTGGTGGTATTGTAATTGTTGTTGCTTGTGGATAATCTCTTTTGACGGATATGTTAGCGGTTGGAGCAATGTAGTGCTTGTGAGGATTCATCAAATATTTTTCTTTTTAAGTTTCTCTTTGCTTGTTCTATTGTTTTTAGTGCTTCTTACCTATATGATGTTTCTATCATTTCCATCATCTGTTTCTTGTTGCTCTTTTTTATTTGCTATTATTCCTCGTGGCAATTAACCTAGCTCTTCTAGGAAGTATCTGATACGGAAAAGTTATCATCAGGTGTATTATCTTGTTTTCATTGACAGTGTTTTCTGCAGTGAAGTTCTTTCCATGATGGCATTTAGTATCAGTGACTTTCTATATCGAATATGCTTGTGATAGTACTGGTGAATGAATATCTCTAGTAGATAGTGAAACATGGTTTCCTCGGTTACAAGATGGACTTTTGTGGGTACCATTTGATGGGAGCTAAATTGTCTCCCAATCTGATTTTGATGAATCAAATCTGCCAAAGGAAGATAATTCATCCTTTGGCTTTGTTATTTTCATTTGTCATACGACCTTTCCTTTGGCAAATTTGGTTTGCAGCCCTAAGTTTTCAGTGGTTAGCACAATTTAACGTGAATATTGTTAATACTGTAGGTGCAAGCAGTAACCGTTCATGCAACCAATAACTACTTCGTTACAGCTTCCCTTGACAACACGTGGTGCTTTTATGATCTTGCTTCTGGTCTATGCCTCACTCAGGTTCACCTCTCTCTCTCTCTCTCTCTCAAATCTTAAGTGGATGCTTAGGCATCCATCTAAAAGCTACCTACTCAAAGCAATATTACATTGTCAGGACTTTTACATCTTTAAATTTTCCTTTGGCAGGTTTCCAATGGTTCAACAAATGATGGTTTCACGTCTGCAGCTTTTCATCCTGATGGTCTTATCCTTGGAACTGGCACTTCCGATGCTTGGGTTAAGATTTGGGATGTTAAAAGCCAGGTGATCTCTTTTTCCTTTTCATTTTCTTTTTCAAGATTAACCCCAATCACAGAATATTATGCATCCTTTGTTTATGATGTTTTAAATTGTATCTGTGTAGACAAATGTTGCCAATTTTGATGATCATCGTCATGGACCAGTTACTGGACCAGTTACAGCAATGTCATTTTCTGAGAATGGTTACTTCCTAGCGGTATGTTTTACTGTAGAATTAAATTGTATGTTTTGCTGTGGAATTGAATTGTGATTGATAAGTAAGCTTGCCTTGTTTCTGATAGTTGTTTTCATTTGGCAGACTGCTGCCCATGATGGTGTCAGAATTTTTGATCTGCGTAAACTGAAAAATTTCAGAACTTTTTCCCCTTATGATGAAAATACATCGACACAATGTGGTATGGCTCAGGTTCATGTTATTTTTGTGCTTTCTGATGCAGTATCTGGTTCTAATAAGTTCTATTGTATCTTACTTTTCCCCTTGACCAATTCTTTTTCACAAGGGTGTGCTGACACTCCTTTTTGTAAACAATTGTAATGGTAGACAAATTTTTGCACATCTTAAGATTGTTGTTAACCTTTCGAAAATTGAGGAAGAACTCTAAACCTCTGACAGGTAGTATCCTGCAGTCACTTGGAACTTTAGATACGTCAGTATAGCATCATTTTCTGGGTAGAAAAGTTTGAATACACTGTTCATTTTCTAATGAGAAGCTTTTTGATACATTTGGGAGAGAAGTCCAATGTGACATCTTTGGTTTCTAGACCAATGTCTTTGCCAACTCAATCTAGATGATTGGACAAGTTTTGATGAGAAATTTGATGGCAGAATAATGAGCATAGGTTTGGGTGGTTTGAGAAATGGGTAATTTTTTGTACTCCCCATTGACTGCTTTCTTTCAAAAATTCAGCGAATGGGTCTTTCCTAACAGCCTGGATGTTTGATTTGGCATACTACCTGTGTTTTTGGAGTTTTGCAACATTGCCCATCCAGAATTTCTGATGTTCTATTTCTCCGCATATTGCAGTGGAATTTGACCATACTGGAAGCTACCTCGCACTTGGTGGTGCAGATATAAGGTGAGTTTCCATTTGAACAGTGAATCCACCCTATCCTACTCAATTAACTAGATTTCTGCAACAGTAATTGTTGTTTGTTATGATGGTTAAAAGTATGGTCACATTTTGGTGCATTTTGAAGTATAATTGTATTCAATGGTTCATGACAGAGTGTTCCAAGTTGCCAATGTGAAAGCGGAATGGAATTTGGTCAAAACATTCCCAGACTTGTCAGGCACTGGTAATCTCCCTCCCTCTCTCTCTAAATTAAAAAAAGATGACATTTGCTGTGGCACTCTCAGATATCTAATGGGCCCTCAGACCCCAGGCATCCAAGCATTTTCCTTCTCTGCGCATGCAATTACATTAGAAATCTGATTGAATTGTTTTGATGGGCGCAGGTAAAGCAACATGTGTGAAATTTGGCCCAGATGCTAAATACTTGGCTGTTGGATCAATGGATCGAAATTTAAGAATTTTTGGCCTGCCAGAGGAGGATGGTCCTTCAGAGTCTTGATCTCCATCCCAATGCATTCAATGCTCAAATATTTGTGTGATTCTGTGCGGCTTCTTTATTGATTATCCAGGGTGGCTGTATCCAATGGGGCTATAGAGGCGGACATTTGAACTAGTTCCTAACGGAGCATATAACCTCCTGGGTTTTGCCTCGGTTCACAGAATCAGAGAGAAATGAAGCGGACCATCTTGAGATTCTTGACAACCTGGTGTACTAAGCAGAGTCCACGAGTGTAATGGAATTCTATTCAGCACTCAATAGTCGGTATTGATTTTGTAGCATTGTACCATTACTAAGATTAATTTTTTTTCAGGAAAACAAGAAAGAGAGAAGATAATTTAGTGCTTGTGCTGTTAGTGGAGCGGATGAGATTTCATCAATCTGTTTTTCCATTGCAAATGTGCTGCAATTCTTTAGCTTATGTGATTGTCCGGAGCTCTGTTGTGGAAACATCACAAATTTCTAACCGAAGAATTTGGCAGCCGTCTCTTTTTCTTTTTTTTCGTTGGCGTTTGCTTTTGGTGGCGGGCAGTTGTTAAGCAATTTGTGTCGTCTCAGTGGTAGAACTTGCATCAACTCTTCTGAACAAACTAAATTATAATTTTCATTGAAAAATTGAGGCATTCAATTGGAGGAAAGGAAGTCTTTAATGTTAATCAGTAATAACTTAATTTTGTTGTCGAGGTACATACAAGATCCTCTCAACGACTGTCTTGAATGAGAAGAAGGCATTATTGTTGTCTCATATTTACAATTTTGAAGATACAAATAATATCCAACCTACAACTGAAAATGAAACCTTCAATAAGATTAGGCAAGCACATTCGATAACTCTTTTTTAAGTGTTTTTTTATCCTTATTGTTTAACTCGCCATAGATCATGCTAGAATTAGTAATTGAAGCCATGCATGGGGGGAAGGAATGTTTGATGTCTTTCCAAGGTAAGAACTCGTTTAAATTACCAATCAATAGCGAAAAAAAGAGTACGCAAATCTACCAGGAAGAAAGTCTGCAACATTCTAAGGTTTGGCATAGCGGGCATTGCCGTGATCCAGAAGCTATAAGAAACTACACGAGCAAGCAATTTACTTTTGTTTTCTCATCACTCGTCACCCAAGATTTCTCTAATAACCGTTCCAGTATTCGAGTGCCTGTTTGAATGTCCTAAGATAAATGATCTCCTCGAAGAGAAGAAGCATTTCACTCATGGATGGGTATAAAAGGGCACACTCAAACTACTATTGCGTAACTTTATAAAGCAAGGCATCGCTAACAGTCCAGCAAAGCCATGATACAAATTGTAAAATGCAATTCGCAGCAAAGCAACAGGGGAAAAAAGGGACACCGTCTCAACTTAGGATGAATGCTATATTACCAGATCAGGGGCAACACAATGCAAAAAGGAACACAATTGACAGCAAAGCCTTGCAATCAATGAACTACAAGAACATGGGTATATACAGCAGGGAACCTCCTGAATCAAGGAGAGCACTGCATAAGACATCAAAGAATAATGAATCCCATATCAACAGTTTTGAAAGCCATTTTGATCTTTCGTCACTAGGTAAGGTATCGAGATGCATGCGTAAAACCCCACAGCTGCAAAAGGGAAGGAAAAGTAAAATGAGACTTAAGAGATACTTGAAACAATCTCTGTTGAGAAAAGCACATTGTAGAATCCAGTCATGAAAATTCACAATGAATTGATATTGATCTTTCCCCTGTCGCTTGTATGTTTTTCATTTTGGGTGCCCCCATGGGGGTGGGGGAGTGAGGGTAAGTAAAATTTGAAATGAGCAACACAAAAGATATGCTGAACAATTCGATACTTAGCCAAGAACAATAATGACCTCAACAATTATCAGGATGAAGATTCGGTCATGTCGTTTTAGCTGATAATATTATTCGCCTTCACTTATGATTTAAGGAAACCCACTAAAAAATGCAAGAGTATACACTTCCTTGCATCTGGGGAAAAAGGTTGATCCTATATAAAACCAAGCAACCAAGGATCTTTAGTCATTCTTTTCTTCAAATTCAGAGAACTTGCATTCTGAACTGAAACCAGTACTTTGAATTCCTAAATATACAGCAAGTGAATGTTATACACAGAAAACTTCTTCTTTCTCATAGAACTTTGTAGATCTAGATTGCATAACCATTACTAACTAGATGAAGCTTTGGCATAGGGTTAAGCTAAGCATGCATAAAAACAACATGAAAAAAGCTTGCTAGAGGTCACCCCCTCCCCCCCTTCCCCAAAACAAAAGGTTCTACTTCAAAAACAAATTGCAAAAGAAAGGAAAAAGCCAAAGCCATCGAATTATTAATAGCCAAATAATAGAGAAGGCAAAAGGTCAAAATTTGGATACCTCAACATTCCTCAGTTCGAACTCTTCATCATGTGCCAAGCATAAGTTTCCAAAGGTTTCACAAGCTCCACTGCTTCCAGTTAACCTTTTCACGATAAAATTTGGGATGAAGATAAATCCGCAATTTTCTAAAGAAAATACTTAGACAATAACCAAATGTGAGAAAGCGGCTCACAGTTCTCCATCCAAGCATAGAGCAAAACTTCCACCACCTCCAAGTGCTAGTAAGTCATTCAAGCACAAGTAAAAGTATCTGTTTACACCTAGCAGTAAAAGGCCTCAAAATTAGTTTACTTGTCTTCAGTGCAAATGTTATCTAGGTTAAATGGAGTAGCATATTAAGACTGCCATTTAACATATCAATACATTTTTCAAGAATCAAATGTGAATAACCAACCTCAGATGGAAAAACAGGCCCAAAGATTAAACAGAATAATCATATAGAAACAGCAATTACACATTAATGTACATACATACTTGTCCATAAACATGCTGATATATGTACATGTAAATACATGCTTAAAGATATAAACAGACGCATAAGGCAACTAATAGTCATGTACAAGCATGCATACTGCACATGTACAATGCGTGTGTTCCTGCATAATTAGAAAAGAAACAGACGAATGATATCTTTTTGCTGAAGAGTAAAAGGCCTCAAATTAAAAAGCCATTAACTTAAAGCAGCACGGCTTTGTGTAGTAGTTTTTTATATTACAGGAATAGCAACTCCTCGTCAACTATTAGCCCAAGCTTGGCACTTGGTTCCACTTTGTGTAAAATAGTGATTCCCTTCAATTTAGCCAATGGAACTTCCCAAAAATCCTCAATAATCATAACATATTCTTCTTCCTACACTCTTCGTGTCCATGAGATCAATTAAGAGTCACCAATTTGACATTAATTAACAAATGTCACTTATCTGTACAAGTGTCTTCTTATCATGAACAAGTAATAACCAGCATTTGATTAGGTCATGCTTTTGGGAAATGTCTAGCAAATGACTAAGGATGCCACAAAGTCAGATACAACAGATTTTTCCAAGATCACTCCCTAAGGAGAACATCGAGATAGTGGTTTACATGAATGCTCAAAATCATTTCCATACCAGTTGGTCTAAAAAGCCTTGGTTCACCATATAAGGTTGTGAATACAAATGATTGATTTGTCCCCTGTGCAAAATGACGAATAGGAAATCAGTGTACAAAATAGCATAGAACTCTATGCTTTTTATCAGTTAAATAGCAGGTCATGATTTTAACCCACCTGATACTTTCTCTTTGCAGTGGGCTTCAGAGGGCACTCAAGCAACCCACCAAATATAGCACCTTGATTATCACCAGTAATCTGCACAGATCAGGATTGCCACTAATACCTTTAAGGAAGTGAAACAACAAAAAAGAAGGGCAATTGTTCTAGCTATTCAAGAACAAACATAAACAACTTTAGGCAGATGAGATTTTGTCATCTTCCCTGTTAGCATACCAGCAAGCAAGGACCAGAAAGCTCAGCGCTCTTGCGAATGAGTGTACGAAGTGATATACCATGTCTTGCAGTACTGCCCTTCATTGAAATCAATAAATCCTAAATCAAGATTGTGATGCAAAACTAACAAAAGAACTTCAATGAAAAATTGAGAGAAATTTATTTAAACTTACCTGTATAGTAAGGTCCATTGGCAACCTTTTACTATATTAGGAAGGGATGACTCAAAAAATTCATATAGGTCTGGAGATATGAAGACAGAATCATCAGTAAGATTGGACAATGACCTCTGAAAACTATTTGGACAAGTAGCATCTTCAAAGATATCAGAACCACAACTAGTTGTGCTCCTTCCAGAGCCAGGCTCTCCGTTCTCAATATGGGTATCTGAATATTCCTTCTTCTGGAAATCTAATTTTCTAATAGATACATGATTCCCATTTTCTTCATGAACACTTAGTGATCCACTGTTCCCGTACTCATTATATGGTTCTGAGTGTCTGTCCAAAGGTCTGTCTTTGAATGAGAAACTCTTACTTCTCCAACTAAAAGAATCTGACTGCTGTAGTTTGATATCATTTTTATGATTATTTGGTCTGAACCATTCAAAGCTCAAAAAAGGGAGACCAAAAGAGAATATGGAAGACCAAGATTTTCTTTCCTTCATGAACTGCCCGGCCTACGCATTAATGAACCAGTGTTACAAAATTCTCTTCAAAACTGGCCAGTAATATAATTAACAGACAAATCAAATGTATAGCAAGTCAAAACTTTACCTGAAACCAAAGGATGTTTCATTTTCATTTTCCTATGTGAGACTTCATAATGCAAATTGAAAAACAAAAGTTCAAGCACATTGGAAATTAGCTGCTGATCGCTCCATCAATTTTCTAGATTTAATTACATTAACAAAGGGCCACAGAAAAATCAGGCTTTTCTTTCCAATTAGATCCCTTTAGCAGATTCTAAGTTTTATAAGACAAACACCTTATCATTGAACAACAGATACAATAACTCATCATCAAATACTTCACTTGATACGCAGAAATTGAAAAGGGAATGGGACCTTTACTCCGATATTCGCTTTTGAAAGTATTCAGTACAATCGTTAAAGCTCATACTCATGAACAAGAACTCTTCTTACACTCTCTCAAAATTCAATGATTATCAGCTGATTTTCTCACCATTCATCAAACTTGCATCAGCTTTACCTCAAACAAAAATCAAATAATCAACAATAAAAGTCACTAGTATCATAAAGTTCAAATTTCCCACCAAAACCAATCTAAATATCCAAAAACTCCTACATTCCTCAAATCACATTGTCCAAAAACAAAAAGATCAAGCTTTTACACAGAATTAAGATAAGGATTCATCCTGAATTACAGCCATTACTCCAAATCAAAACTCAAAATCCCAGAAAACTTGAGCTCGAATAGCACAATATACATTTCAAAATAATAAAAATTCAATCTTGAACTTTACAAGAAGAGACAAGAGACTACCTGAGGCTGTTGATCTGAGTTCTGAGAAGGGGAATCAGAAAAAAGCTGTGAAAGTTTTTCCGAAACTGTGTCTTTCAAAGCATGCATAACTTTTCAGGGATTTTTTTTGTCTATACCCTTTTCTTATTAATTCTTGATTTTTTGAATTGCAATGCGAGTTAATAGAGAATAGTCCCAAAAAAAAAAAGAGGGGTCTCCAGATCAAAGAATGTGCGTTGAGCGGTGTATTAAAAAGTACAAAAGCAGAAGAAAGAAACGCTTTCGAGAGTTGAAGGAGAGGTGGACGGGTGGACAAATAGTTGCATTAAAACGGAGGCCACCGACCCAGAAATCAAGCGGGGATGAGGGAAAAGTTCGGTAAGAGTGCACGAATCCTAAGACAAGTAAGAGTCATTTGAGTGTTTTGAATTTTGACTGATTCGCTGGTAATTAACTTTTAGGACAAAAACGACGCTTTTGGTGGTTGGATTGCATGGGAAAAGTTGTCTGGTTTTACTTTTACCATCACGAAAGAAAAAAAAAAGTTAAGAAAGATTGGATATATTTCCAATTAGAGATTTTTATTTAGCTTAAAATTGAAAAAAAGGTCAAAAGGAGTAGTAGGAATTACCTTCGCAGGCAGAAAATGAGAGTGAATTAAGGTAATATTTGAACTGAAGAACCAATGGACAATTGATTCAAATTTGTAGACATTTGTTTTTGGTCGATAAATTGAAGGGAAAAAAATTGAGTAAGTTGGGCCGATCTGGCCCAAGATAGGCATATCCTTACACTTGAGTAGGGAAAAATTGGCATCGTAGTTGGGCCGGACGTGAACAAATTAACCATTATTATGTGTGTACGTGTACGCGCGCGTTTTATTTGTACTATGCGTTAGTTTTTTTATCTTGTGCATTTCTATAAGGGATAACTTTAGGGACTAGGGTCTAAATCGTTGTCAAAAAAAATCATTTAGGCCGGTTTTTGTTTAATTGCACAAGATAATGATCTCATTAGTTTAAAATGTAACTTATTTTTAACAATTTATAAATATAAAATAAAATTTATATGGTCCACGTACAATGTTAAAATAACTGTACAAAATATGATCTAGATTTTTTTTTTTTTTTTTTTTTTTTACCAAATCATAGCCGTCTACCTTTAGAAAAGATTGGTACGTGCAATGTCCCTGCCCCATTTTCTAACTTCAGAAACAGCTCCTGACAATTTCATATAAATACACTTTAAATGTGGATGTGACCTCCCCTTTCATGTGGATGTGACCAAATGTCACTATCAGGAGCCTTTAAATGATCAAATTGTCCTAAAAAATTTGTGCCGAATAAGTGAATATGGTGAAAATATGAAAAAAAAAAGAAATTACTTGAAAATGGATTTTTTTTATAAATACCCTTTAAATATGGATGTGACCAAATGTCACCATCAGGAGCCTTTAAATGATCAAATTGTCCTAAAAATTTTGTGCCTAAAAATATGAAAAAAAAAAGAAATTACTTGAAAAGGTGACAAATAAAGCACAATTTAGGTTTCATAAAAAATATAGAGGTAAAAGTTCAAAATTTATTTTAGTTTATTAGACCTTCTAAGTATTGATTGTTAGTTATTGTGTTAATACTTGTCACATATTATAACTTAAATTTCTTAAAAGATCATATGCTATACTTGTAAATGTGTCTCTATACTACCTGATGATGGTCACAGATGACTTTATTTGCAGAATATCTTTAGTTATAAATGGCATGAATATTTTTTTGCACCTTCATTAGCCTTATATGTTGGCACGAAAGATTTGTTGTATTACCAATGGCTCTTCTTGGATTTAATGATCAAAAGTATAGTTTATTATATGCTTTTCTTGGGCTATCCTAAGAGGATCATATTGGATTAGTGGCAATCTTTTTCTCTTTTTATTAGCATTTTCCTCACCAAAAAGTGTTAATTGTTTTCCTCTAGAGACAAAAAGGACAAAATTGGAAGAAAATTATATATTAGCGCTTTTGATTTATTTTTGAGGTATTATGACAAGGATTGATATTGTGATAAAACATGTCAATCAAGGGGAGGCGAGTCTAATTTTCAATATTAAAGGATATTTGTTTGAAATTGTCAGAAATCTCGAAGGAGGTTATTGAAATTATTCATTTCTATAAATTAAAAAGTTGTAGATTAACACAAAAATGTTGTATTTTAATGTCTACTAGAAAATTTAATTTTGTATCCTTCAAAAAAAAAAAAAAAGAAAATGAATCTAGACCTTCTTTGCGAACCATCGCTGAGGCGAGGAAGATGCGCAGACAGCTGTTTTCCAATAAAAGTTTATCAAGCTAGGAGCTTTACTTTCAACGAAGAAATCAAAATTAAATTACTTTCAAGCTGGGAGGCTTGCTGAATGTCCAGAAATCAGACTTCCATTATTTGTATTTGAAAAGACTACACGTTATGTTTTTACATAATCTTATCTGAAATTGAATCACATTTTGTCCTGTCTATTTGTGAACAAATGCACCGAGTTTAAGTATATTCATGATTCCTTGTCAAAGTAACATCAAAAATATACTTTGCACCAACCAACTGAAAAAGCTATAATAATTAATAAATGAACAAAAGATATAACTAAAAACTTAGAATAACAAAACTTTTCAAAAGATTTAGCGGTGCAAGCCAGAACAATCAACCGTAGAAAAACTTGCAAGCCTGGTAGGCATCCAACCAACCTGTACAAGCGTCACTTTTTTTGAAGAAATTCTACTGGCGTGAAGCTTGAGTTTGACAATAATGACGCATTAGTTTCTAAAAAGCGAAAAACAATGGCATAATTTCTAGTTCTTGATGATGGCAACCTTTCCCTTCTCTGCTACGTTGTCCATTTATTTATTAATGCAGCTGACGTCTACATTGATGCGTCCAAGTTGAGTTTTTTCCTGTTTAAGTATGAAAATGACTATCAAAATTGGATCCAGTTTGGATGATGGTAACGTACGTATCATTTGATGCTTGATGATTTTGGTTTAGATTTGCTTGACCATCACGATGGATGTGCAAAGCGTGAAAGTGAAACAAAAAAGAATATCTGGTGACGAGTTCTCCTCCAATGTGCTGAATGCTTTAATCTCTTTTGACAGTTGACAAGATGATCTTTAAAGAACCTCACCTGTTTCTTGCTTCTTGAGTCACACAAGATTTCGTTCTTCTGCCTAATCATCAATAAATGTTCACAGGATGAAAGCAAATGTGATTGTACCCCACTCACTATTCAAATTCAAAGTTCTTGATTGATTAAAAGTGCCTGGAGTATGTACTTGGTCAAACTGATTTGTCCACTTCCAAATTCCGTCACCGTCCTCTCTCTCTTTCATCGGCTCCCCACCCCTCTGCTAAGCGCTAGCAAGAGAATATTTTACCCACTTTATGAGCTGGTATATTTTAATCTTTTTTGTTCTCATCCTCCCCAGAAAATAGTAGTACTCGCTACCTAGCAAAAGGAGTTTTTTTTTTTTTTTTAAACAGAGAAGTATCGGTACTACTTCACCATTTCCAGTGAGAACAGTAATATTTTATCCATTGGGTACTACTCAATTATCAAATTCACTTTGCTACATTATAAATTTTTATAAAAACTGCAATCCAAAGACGACCCACCTTCTTTCCTCTGCAGTCTGCACATCCAAAGATAGGTTGAGCTGAGGTGAGAACTGTGCCAGCCAAAAAGAAAGCGAATCCCAAACACCACAGCATCAAAACCTATACCCTTTTTTGGTAGAAGAAAAAAGAATCATTTTTTGGGGTAGTTGAATTGAATCCCATTATTCAATACTGCTACCAAGTTTCAATCTTTCCTCACTTTTTAATCAAAACCCATCTCTCAAGTGTAGTTTAATCAAGTGTAGTTTAATTGACTGCAGATTTGGCAGCTGTCTCCCTCTTTTAATTAGTCTAGTGGCCAAGAGTGTATCGAATAATGTAACGAGTATGGGATAAGTGATTTGTTTAATTTTTAATGGTGATCACTCTTAACAAGATGTTTGTCTGGCCTAGATTTGCGGGCTCAATCTCTAGATTTGTTGCTAATAGTCCAATGTGTATTCATATTGATATTGAATTTGGGTTGCATTTGGTCAATGTAGGGTCAGGGCAAAATACAGGGAAGACAGTGGCTATAATATTAGGAGGGGCAGCAGGAGTGGGGTTTCTGATCATTTGCCTGCTGTTTACTAAAAACTTAATGAAGAAACATGATGGTAAGTATGATTATTTATGGTGGTGGATTCCTGTGTACTATCATTTGCTTTTATAGATCTTTCTTTCTTAATTTATTCTATCATAATTATGGGTGTGCTGTTGTTGTGCAGATTCTTGAAGGAGCCCTTGTTTTTGTAAATTAAAAGTTTTTTGAGGTGAATGGTTCCTCTGAGTTTGTTATTTTTCTAGAGATTGTGGAAGGGAGGAGAGGGGAAAGAAGTTAGTTTCGGGAAAACTTCTCACTGTTAGGCAGAAACAAATTTTGGGGCATGAAACTGAGGACGGGATGCTTGCATCTAAAAGGAGGATGTAAGATGTATGCTTGTCGAGTCTGAAAAAGATGAGGAAGAGTACTAATGGATCTTGGCCTTTTTCTCATTTACCATGTGCATATTTGTCTCTTTTCTTCCTTGTCTTGAATACTGCTCCTCCATTTTCCTCAAAACTTTTTTGCTTTTTATAAAGCTCTCTCTCTCTCTCTCTCTCTCCCCCTCTGTGTGTGTGTGTGTTGTGTGTGTGGTGGTGTCTGGAAGTGTAACATACTTAGGTTATCATTTATCACCTTGTCAAAGAGTGTTTGTTCAGTACTCCTATGTGTATATGTCTGCTACCTCATTTGATTCTGCTGAAAAAGGGAAAAGGAGGTAAAAAGGAAACAGGGTAGTTTAAATATTGCAAGTCGAAGAAAGAAAACTACAATGATGGAATGTATCCTCACATTTTAATCCTGTATAAGCTGATGTGGGAGTCTTCTAAATGGTAAAGCGTTGTCTCTAGTTATTTCTGATAAATATTTGGCCATCAGCTAAAAAAGAACTGATGACTTAGAAGTTACATCTATAATTTTTCGATCAGCCCTTGACTACATGTTTGAAGTTTTCCTCAGTTTTAATTGCTCAAACATTATAATCAGGTGCTTAGCAGTATCTGTTATCTTAAGTCTGATATTCTAGTACCCTGATGTCTATTTCAGTTCATTGCCTGTTTGATGCATTATTAGTTTAGTTGCACTGAATCAACTGGTCTGTTCAATTCCCACCATTGAACTGACAGATCAACCATGGAAGGTTCCAGCATATAGAAAACTTCTCTAGTAGATGCCCGGAAGTAAAACTAGACTGGTTGCAGTAATTCTATGGATGCTATTGTTGCCTAGTTG